CGGCCATTGGATATGCACTGCTGACGAGCTCTAATAGGAGCAAAACTCGAGTCCAGTGCTTCCCCTTGTTTGGTGTGGACTCACCGAAGTAATTACTCCAGAACGGGAACACGAACGTTCAAACGAGAGTGGTGTGGATATGAGATTTCGTTGAATATCTCCGTAACGGGTATTCGAGACAGCCTGCACGCTGCACATTTCGCACAATATCAGTGCCACAAGGGACTTGGGCTAGAATGCAGCTCCAGCGATTTTTATCCTCCATGTAGGCTTATAACATAACTACTTGCGCGTTTTGTTCTGCACAAGGTAACCTCCCAGTACACATTCCCAACGCCCAAGTGACGGTTGAGTAGTACTCGGCCTCATCTAGTTGACGTAGATCAATCAGTGTGTGTGTTCATCCAACTCTCCCTATCTAGTACCCCAGTTTTTTTCACCCTAATGTGAATGCCCTATCTGTAAGGAAGAAAACAGCTGTACCTCATCCATTCCATCATTTAAAACACTCACAAGGAGCATGCGTAACAGCACCGCAATGGGCTTTTCTTCGAGGTTCTTTTAGTTCCGCTCTTGTGGTTACTACTACCACTCATGAAGTTTTATTTATTGCAGTGGAAACTGAAATGGTACAAGATATGGTCGGTTTATTTCTCTATGCCTTGGCGACTCCTGTGGTCAATAACTTGTGAAAAAATTCGCAAATGTTCAAAGCTTTATTCTTTTAGATTTTGTCAGGAATTTTTACAAGTGAATTTATGCTCGACTCTGTGTCCACATCACTCAACCATTGAAGTTTCCATGCAGCAATTTGATACCCTCTCGATTTTTGAACATCCAAACCCTGTTTAAGCACCAGCTCGATGGTGATTCCCTGAAAGTCTGTGGACTCTGCTTGGGGTTACAATCTCTGCGTATGCCAGTCGACCGACTTGCTCGAAAGGTTCTTTTTGAACGAGCCACTGGACGTCAAACAATTACTTGGCAGCGGTGTATAAAAGCCATTACCAGCAAACTCAGGTGCGTTGGTCATCGGCGTCTTCCTGGATGGGGACCCTAAAATGGGCCACATCAATGGTTAAAGAAATTGACAGACATGGCCTAGTCGCGCCCTCACTGGCGTTCGTGCATCCAAGCTATCGCCTTCAATGCATAGCTCCCTCCCCGATACGCCCACTTAACAGTTTACTGGTGTAACGGTAATACTACTGATGGGGAGGCACGCGAGTAGTATGTGTTGTTCGTAGAATTTCGCTTTGCGTCTATTGAAAAAGGAAGATCTGTTGCGGAATTCGTGGAGCCACTTTGTAACACTTGCTTGGATTTGACCGACGAATGAGTGGATTCAATGGATCTCCAGGAAAGTTCAAGAAGACTCGTTCGGGAGAAGATCGGTGTTCAGTTTTTGTAATTAAGATGCAGATTAGAGTTTTGCTTCCTTGTTCATTGATCTGTAACCGGTCAGTTGGCATTTCCGAATGAGTAACTCCGCAGCAAAGGCCTTCTTCCTTTCACTGGTAGTCTTGTATTCAGGCACCAATTCATCATCTCCTGCCTCCAATGCGCAGCTACCTACCCCACCTACCCCAAATCATCGGGGAACTAAACTGGGCCAGCTACAACCACTGTACGACAAGCACGCGGTTCTCACAGCCACTGGTGATTCACTCCGAGTGCGTTAGGTCGGCGTACTACTAGGAAAAAGCCAAATAATAAAGTGAGCACTCCACGATCACTTACGGGGACATTCTCTTCTTTTCCCAAACCTCGTACCTGAAAAGTAAGTGACAAAATATAGAACGGAAGAATTAATTTCTTTATATGTTATGCAGGGGACACTGACACGATTCTAGTTGCATTCCTATATTCAAGCATCTCTGTACGCACCAACACAGAATTAATTCAGGTTGGCCGGCTTGAATAAATAACAGAAAAATATAGGCAGGTTCGAGTATTTCATCAAGAATCTCTTTATATTTAGCCCATAATTTACCTGGTTCTAGCCAAAACGTTGATCCCCGTTGATAGGGAAATGTTCAGAACCCTCGAGCTTACTCGAGATCTAATTATACATATTCTATTAGATTCAGTGAGGCTATGGTGTACCTGTCACTCTCCTGTCGATCCAGCACAACCGAAACAGTTCTTCCTGGATATCTGCGGATTGTACATCATTCTGCTTGGAGAGTATGGTCCTATATGGAGACGTGAATGAATTAACCGACGACATCTGTGCTGCACTAACTAATACATTGTCAGTATTTGTTGCAATGCCAGGCCTGCTAGTGCCTGTCAACAGGCGTTTGCAAGATGACCTACAAATCCGGCTCCAACTGTCTGTGTTATAGCTATGTTGAAATATCGAGTGACCGACCAATCCAGATCGGATGCACGTCAACCAGTGCGTAGAATGATATTCCGTACCGGCACCATACAGACTCAATAAGTAACAGTGAACTCACCATCATCTCGGCAAAGGTGAAAATTGTGACCGAATCTTTGACTTTCTTCATCAGTTTCTGGCGATCATCTTCATCCATCTTGATAACAACGAGATAACGCAGGTATCTGCTCCCTCGCTTTATTAAGGATTGGGCACGTTCGAACGTGTCGCAAACAACCAAGGAGACTTCCGCTGTGTGTACAGATGTGTAATTATAAAACGAGCTTTGGAAGATCAAAATAATTACAGGTTTGTTAGGCTCATAGAAATGTCCCCAAATGGGCACAGACACCTGTGGGCTTCAGAAAGCATGGACATACGGCGAACAAATTTCGGCTGATTACTTTCAGTGTCGGGTGTCCGGAGTCCAAACCCCATACAGTTAGGAATGAGCCCTGATGATTGGCCCTGGTGCGAGCAAAACTTGAGTCCAGTGCTTCTGCCCTTTGGTGTAGACTCACCGAAATAATTGTCCCAGGGCATGAGCAGAAATGTTTACAGAAGACTGATGTGAGACTTTGAAGTCTCAATAGAGGTTCTATTCTGCCGGATGTTTCCTATTGAAATGAGACTGTTTTTGAATGTAGACTGACACTACTCGCAGAAACTTAGAGATGCATCTTATAGCTTCACACGTGAATTACCGTCAAAGAATAAAAATTCTGAAAATCGCATAAGACACCCAATTGTGAGTCGGTCACAGCGAGTTCGGCAAACTGGATAGTGTGCTCGTATGGTGGTGGTAGTGCCGTGGTCTGTTGTTGCCTATTAACCACCGGATTAACCAAGTGGATAACTGATGTTTCAGGCGTCCAAGAGGTTCATGAGACGTATACTTGTGATCCCCCAACAAGAAGAAACACCTGCTCCTTTTACTCAGCCGCAGGACCAAACCTCAAATGAGAGATCTGTAACACGTAAAAGGATGGACAAATTGGTCGCCTTATTATCCTGGCCCATTTCTTGCTACTATAAAGAGAAAGTTATCGTTCACTTCACTGTGCTCTTTAGAATCAGCTCGGCAGAACTGAAGTACCGTAGAACGGCAGTGGTATTCGTAACGGCATGTTTCATTTGTCCGTGATTGGTGGAACCGCACACATCGTGTTACAGCATAAACTAACAAGCCTTTGTAATCCAAAACAAACGGGTGTTTTGTTGTTATACATCGTTGTTACATCGTCCCGAAACTAAAGAATTTCAAGTGACCCACAAATCACCACATTGGGAAGCAACTAATCTGACTACGTATTAGAAACAGCAGTTAAGTGCAACCAAAGAAGTAGTTTGCAATTGCGTTATAATGGTGAATAGTTTCTTGAGGAATCCTGATATAGCTGACCCCCAAAATACCTAATCAAAAATGTGCACTTGTCACAAGCTTTAACCAAGTCCAGTAAACTTCTTCTGAAGTTGATTTTGTTAAATGACCTTGCGTTCATCCTTAGATCTGGTATGTTGACTGTGCTGACCACTCTTTTTTCTAAATGGGAGATAACGCTGCTCCTTCGAAAGTGACAGGCTGTTCATGATAACGGAAATTTGAAAGTGATTCTAGAAACAATGGACCAGAGTTCGGCTAAAACTTTTAGTGTCAAGTTGCGAAGATCCAGATAAATGATCTTGTAGGAGTTGACTCCTACTAGAATACCTTGACTAATCAGCAACTCTTCGGTTCAGTGGCTGAAGGCTTTTTGCGGGACAGGTGCTCGAAACCCAAGAACATATTATGATATCGCGATAAACAAAAACTCACTCTGGTTCAGTATATGATCCATTGCTTCGTCGCCCAGTGTGTCGTACAACGGCAAAGCCACCCATCCAAAGTATCCACATGCGAGCTCTGAGTACACCCACTAGACATAGGATAGTAAGGGAAAGGAGTTATGAATATCTGATCCACTAGGATTCGCTGAGTTCAAAACTCCCCTTTTTTCTGACCGGCTTCGATAAGAGGGATGGAGGGTTGCATGAGCGAAAAACATGAATCTTCGTGTTCAGAGGTATTCCTGGAGAGTTAGTTCCGAGACAAACATATAAAGCCACTAATTGGTAGAGTATTTGCAATTGGTCGACATGACAAATGGATAGGGCTGTTATAGGGGTAGAACACGTTTAGTTTATGATACCAAAAAGCTTTATAAATTTCATATCCAGAATATCAGAATCCGGATAGTCATTCTACATGTTGACCTAAGTTGTCCTACGCCAAACAGTCGGGATGCACTCTAGAACCCTTTCGGCCTCATTGAGAATAATCAACACTGTGAACCTCACAGCTAAGAAAACCAAACACCGCTACATTCCGGCTACTGTTTTAGGCCTACACGTTTCAGCTGGGAATGGGTGATCCGGCAGCGTGATTAACCTCACGTAATTCTCCGTTACTCTTCACCCCAATTGATTCCTCGATGACGGACTCCTCAGATGATGAATCCTCGTTGGATTTTTGAGATACCTTCCTACGCAAGCACATTACTCGAGCATTCCGGGCAGTAATAGGTTATTGAAGTGCTATATCTCGTTTTGTCTTGCAAGTAAAATGGGTATTCTCATCAGGTAGGAAGCATCAGAACACCAACTTAGGCTGCGTTCACACGAAGGCTGAAACCTCAAAGCAAGGATTTGTGATCCGCTTATCAACTGAAAGAAGTGGGCTTCCTAATACTTCGGCAGTATATGTTTAAAACCAGAAGAGATTTCGGATTTGGTTGCAGAATCCAAATGTCTTAATACCGACTCACGTATTGTGAGAGGAATTCTTCCTCACCGGACTGACTGAATGGAACATCAGTGAAAAGTAGGGATTTCGGCTCACTGGTATTCTATCACAGCTTAGTGGTTACCCGTTACTAGAGCGAACATTGACCTGTGGTCACTAAATTAAAGACCAAGTATAACAAGTCTAAAGCGAACGAGAGCACTTAACCCGCGTCTCAGCTTTGATAGAATCTTTCTGCAAGTCAGATCTTCAGCGGTAACAGAGATCAAACTCCGGTACGTGCACAAGGCACACTTGAAAACGGGTACATAGGTTTGCGAGAAAACCGACAGTAGATCTGTGAAAACTGCTTGACATCTTGATAGACCGTCAACTGATCGCCCTAAACCTACTGATTTATAGCTCCCGTGTAAGGACATGAAGGTCAGGCCAATCGGTGGAATGTTCCCAAAAGCCTGCACCTAGAGAGAATATCGAGCCACTCATTCGCTCGCGTTTTTCGCCGGACTTCCAGTATACATTGACTTCATTTTCTGGATGAAATTTCCACTAGAACATGAACATTTCGTATTGCCATCAACTTATGATTAATCTGCCCAAACGGAGTTCATTTCATGTTGCATTTTAATTTACCACATGAGAAATGTCACACCAGCAGCCAAGTACCACGGATCTATGTGATGTGAACCACGTGACTGAGCGCTCCATGCTCATGACCGAATGCTACAGTCCTCAGCTACTGGTCTGGGGCTCGAATTCACTATGAATTCATGATACGCGCCCAACAAGGTCAAAAACAGCTGCAGCAGAAACTATCACGTCAAATGGTCCAGGCCTGACCCGCCGGTCAGGTTTCTGTTTCTTATCGATCCATCCGACAGACGGTTTAAGCGGGATATCAAGGCCATTCTCGTCAAGCTGGATGCAAATGAGTCCACCTCATTCATCCTGACCAAGTTTCACCAGTTTTCGGAGTAAATGTGCTGGGATTTTTGGAACTGATATGAACAAAACCAGGTCTCGGTCGACGCTTGATGATCAAAGTATTGCTAGCGAATTACAAATAATGAAGTCAATTAGTGCCTTTGTCATGTCCAGAAGTGGAAAACCGGCCAAGAAACATCAGGTTTTACCGCGATCTGATCTGATTAACATACATATTGATAAAATTCAACGCTACCTACTCGAGTCCTCCCATAAATTGTTTGGGAAACATGATGCCCTCTAAATGTGACAAGTATCACTGATCATGTGTATGGTTTGCAAGAAATGATGGATGGTCGACTGGACAATAAATGATGTCGAATCGTTCACCAAATAGCCTTGACGACATAAAGTCATGAAATGGCTTGTCATCGATGAACTTTTACCGTGAATGTACACTACGGCCTTCTCAAAGAGAAAGTGAGAGCGTGTGCTCGCTGAAGTATTCTATGTTTGGCGAACCACAGTTTGGCTTGTACAGCAGGAACGTGGACGTCGTTGGTTTATCCAATGTACTCAGTGAGAACAAGAAATACATATTTTCCTGACATGACACTATGCCACTTATATACCTGCTGAAATCTCCGCTGCAGGCCATTAACGGCTCTGTACCTTTTAGAACTCACCAGAAAGACGCATTCCCAGAGTTTCCGCCAATCCTCCGTTCGCCCTGAACACCAAATGGTACGCGGTTGACGAAAGGCACTCATTTGTAAATTGCTTTGGCGTCAGCGAAAAACTAACCAAGCTGAATTTCTCAGTTATGATATTCTTAATCCGAAAGTATTAGACTAAGCTCTCTTCAATTTGTACGATGTTTGAGATGTCGCAATATATTTTACAACACAACACTATCCTCCCCCCAGTTTGACTTACACATGAGTGTATTTATAAAGTTTCGGTAAAACCGGAGATTCGGCATATGAACAGGCGAGGATACGACAAAGTTCCGGGAAGTTACGGCGAACTGAGGCAGATGGGCAGTGCTTCCACAAACGTCAGACTGTAGAGAAGAGGTAGCAGTTTTTCTGATGAACCCGTCAGGACCGTGTAAGCTTCAGGTTGATTTTATGAAAAGACTAATTTGAACCAAGTAAGGATCCTGGTGACAGCCAAACTTTTGATGAAAGTATATGGCAGTCATTTTCAAAAAAGGACACCATCCAGGCCCACATGCTTCTTACGGTAAAAGCGATTGAATCCTCAGACACATTATCGTATGTCATTCAAGTCTCAAAACCACAGGCGAAAGCACCTCCCATGACGAAATAAGGACAGATATACAAAAGAGATCGGACGTTCAGTCACGTCACCAGCCACCAGTCACAACAGGACCAACCCAGATCGTCCGCAGAGTCTGACAGAATACCAACATCGATCAAAAGAAGTCGGCCAGACGTAGCATAAGCTGGTACGGTAAGATTAGTTGAAATGCCGTCGCTGTGAAAGTCATATCACATGACCTTTCAACCTGCCCTGCACACACCGCGCACGCTGCTAGAGCCACTTAAACCCCCGAATGCCCAATCAAACTGGACATTATTTTTCCAGAGAATATTTGCGTATGTTGATCTCCAATCATCTAGCCAGTAGTGTGTGATGTTATTAATCATCGCCGATAAGCTCACCACTAGATATCTGTTGACCTAACGACGAGATCAAAACAACGTTAACGTTTATCAGTTAATAGTTTGCTACAGAGGAGAATGTTCGTCGCTCAAGTAGCGTAGATGGTCATCGGTTTGTTTGCTGAGCTGGGCAATTTGATTGCGAACGTTTCCTTATCAGTCGAAGTGATATCATCAATGCGTTGTTATGGAGCGTAACGATGGGTGTTTTTGCGTTGAGTAGTGTTGCGTGTGTGTTGGTCTAGATGCTTCTAGCCGGGACTGACATTCGCTCAAAATTAGTCGTTCGACTGGGTGATTCCATTGTTGAGTAGTGTTGCGTGTGTGTTGGTCTAAGTGCTTCTAGCCGGGACTGACATTCGCTCACAATTAGTCGTTCGACTGGGTGATTCCATTGGCTGCTCTGTTATCCTGTGTCCTGATTGATCGGTGGCCACGTGACCTTTCAATTTGTCCTCCCCCGCACTCGCTGGAGTGAAGTCTGCCCTTGGTCGTTCTGGGAGTGGAGTTTGTGAATCCGATAATCGGCTCTCCTGTTGTTGAACGTAGTGGTACGAAAATTGGATCCATTCGATTGTATGGGTTTATCGAGTCCACCATGAAGTACCATGATTGCAGAACTTCCCCTCCATGTCACATACCTCCGTATACCAAAATGTTTTCGTTTCCCAGATTGAATTCGCGGTCATCTTCATCTTCGTGTATGGATATTAAGGGCACTGGTGGCCACATTATATTCCTTCATTCTTATGCATAATTTCCTCCCAGTTTGTCCAATTAGAATTTTGTTGCAGTCGTTACCGTTAATTGCTAAATCTGTTCTTCTTCGATTTATCTTGGTTGCCTTTCGGTCTTGAGATCCGTTTCCGTATAGCAGCATTCGGTTTGTGGGATACGAGGATTCTTTTTAGAAGTTAGGATATATTCCTAATGTAAGGTAGACCTATCTGCCTGGTAGCTTGCTCTTGCTGTTGCTGTTGTTGGGATGTCTTGCTCTTCAATCATTTCTTTGTTCTGGAATACACTGAATGGATGATTTTATTCTTTCTTCTGTAATTCTCTGGTGCTGTAATGTGTCTCTGCCCTCTTGAACAGGGTCTGGAGGCAGCTCTTCATGTGTTTAGTGGATGATTGCTGTTGTAGTCCGGTATTTGGTCCATATATGTCTCTTTCCAGAGTTCTATGCACCTTCCTTCCATTTGTTTCTCTCCAGTTCGATTGAAAACTTGATATATTCAAACTTGGTGTTGAGCAGTTCTTGCACACTGTGTACTGCATTTCGTTCCATGATGACAAAGATATCATGTGCGTAGCGGATCCATACCTTTGGATTGATGATTTATAGTACCGCGCGCTCTATCTAGTCTTTGCATTACCGCCTCAGCCATAAATCCTGATATTGGAGGTTTCATTGGAGTTCTTTTCAGCTGTTGACATATTTGTCCATTAAAGCTAATGTGTATATCCATGCAAAAGCCCAATAGCCTGCATAATCTTTCAGGTTTCATGGTTCCTGTCATGTTTGGATTATGGCACCTCTCGCGAGGTTGTGGTTAACTGAACTGAACAGTGATGTGACATCAAAGGAAAGCATGATTTCATCGTTCTCCATACTGACTTCGCGTAGTTTACGTAGCAATTGGCCATGGTTGCGTGTTCCGATCCAGGAGTCAAGTGTTTCAATTTTCTCCATAAATCTTTTTGTTAATTTGTTAGATGGACTACTTGGAAGTAAAACGATTGGACTCCTTTCTTTGTGCACCTTTGGTAGTCCATAGAATTGTGCAATTTTGGTGTCATCGGCTTTCATTTTCCATCGTTCCTGGCTGGCTCTCTCGTGTGTTGTTTGCAATTGCTTGACCGTCGTGTTGATTCGATTGATGAAGTTTGAAGTCGGGTCATGATTAGTTGAATTGTAGCAGTTGTTTGGCTTTTTCAACATAATGTCTTGTCCGTTACCACTGTGATGTGTCTTCCGGCAATGTTTTCTAAGTACGTCTCTTACTTGTTTGGAATTCAATTCCGGAACAGTTGTCTCTCGGATCTGCTGTTGAACCTCCCAAGGACACTTCGATTGGCCTCAAGGAGTGTTCTAAGCTGGATAGGTAATCTTTGTGGGACGCGCCTTTGACATTAAAGTTGAGCCCTTTCATCGGAAGTTCCTGGTCAGTTGTGCTGAGTAGGCAGCCAGATAAGTTTTTCTATCCAAACGTCTCAAGTGTTTTTTTGACATTTAACATGAGTTCATGCAATTTCCTAACCATGGGTGCTAAACTTTTGGTCTAGGCATTTTCTACTCGGCGTCCCATTGCTGCTTCAATTTCTACCAAGTGGTGTGAACCAATTGTAGTCAGACTGTCTGTCTTGCTGTCGATGACTGCTCTTTCGTATCTTATAAGAAGACTGTGGGCATCTGCTATGATTAAGTTCATCATTCGTTCTATATGTTCCATTCAAGAGGCACCTTTAATTGTGGTGCAGTTGTGGCAGTCACTTTCTCGGGAAATGGTGGAGTTGATCGTGGGGTAATCGTCATTACGATATTTCACCAGATAGGTGGTTATACGACGATCGGTTTCGGCCAACTCCTCCCACGCACACCCAGTACTTAGAAGTAAGTGTGAAAAAAGGTCGCTGGGTTTTGAAATCGTTATAGATACTACAAGATGATGGCACTTGTGGTGTACCGGGCGAACGGTATCTTCGAGTGACGCGTAATACCAGGACCTCCGGAGCTGGGTTTCTATATGGTATTATTAATGAGGACTAATCACAAATTATACAAACCTCAACAGTAGACGCTCGTCCAAAACAAATGATCCACTTGGACTACAAAAGTACAAACCAGAGGAGCAAACAGGCTCCCACGTGAGACAGTCACACGAGCACAGAGTTGACCAGCTGGCCGGATGACCTCAAGGCTAAATGAGTGAGTTGGTAAGGACAAACAAACGGCAGTTCATGAACACGCACTAAAAACAAAAGTGGGGCGGGTTTTACAAATAGGGACAGAATAGACATGGGGAATTTCTAGTGTCAACGTGATGGACAATAAAGTAGTGTGAGCGGACAAGCAGTTAGTCAGAAGAAAAAATAGGTAAAAGGTCAACCTTGCTTCTGCGTAAAAAAGTTTTCTATATTGTATGGAACCAAAATTAAAAACGAGACAGCCCTCAACCCGAAAACAATGAAGTTCATGAAAACAGTTCAACTTACCTCGGGTGAATTTCTTCCATAAAGCCCAACAATAGCTCCACTTGGGAGAATAGAACGGAGTGCACTACCGAAAGCCAAAGTATCTCTTCGTGTCTACAGAATAATTTGAGTTTATCGTTGACATTCGAGCACGACGTTACCTGTCTGTAGGTGCTCCAAACGGCTGCCGCATCAAAGTTGCTCCTCTGTCCGAAGCACGGCTGATCACCTGTGAAACAAAATAGGCCGCCATAACTACATTTCAAAACAACGTCGGGTTCTCTTACAGAGTGGGTATAATTTGGAAAGTAAATTTTGGAGCGTAGAAGCTGAATCGAAAATGCATGTTACGTGAAAGACCTAATTACTCGAAAATCAGGCCTAGGAGTTGGACTTTTGTGGTCAAACTTAGATCCAAGGTGAAGATGGTTGGTCGATTATTCACAGTTAATTGTCCGTAAGCAAGACAGGGGTTTGGAAGCCAGGTCCATGGTTAGACATTGTCAAGGTGACAGTGTCAAAAGTGGGATTTTGGATCGTGTTATCACCAACCCGATGCAGTGACCCTTCATTTCGCGCGGTCGTGGCCCGTTTACTGCTTAGCTGTCTAACGACCTAGAATAGAAGACAACAGCCAGTTAGGAGGCTGTTGTATGCATGTATGAACGATTTTGACTAAGCGTGACTCGTCAGGACGAGCGGAGGTACCTCAACAATACCAAGTAAAATTAAACAGTGGAGTGATTTTTATGGACAGGATTACAGATAGCTCATTGAGTACAGCTGGAGACTGGCGGAAACAAAAAAATATGTCACAAGTCATTGCAAGTAGAAGGTAGATCCTTTCCAGTAAAAACATTCACTGACTTTAAATTTTCCTGCTGTCATTCGATAAACTCATTCCCTAATGGGTTAGGGGTCGCCAGGCTCCAGACTTACAATCTGCAGAAAGGCTCAAGGCTCAATCTTTGAACAGACTGTCTGAGAGTGTAGCCTAGGTAAGACAAGGACAAACATCCGAAGACCACATGTTGTTCAAGATGCGTTTATGAAAGCTCTCAGTGCGTTCAGTCCACTTCAGTGCAGTTTGGCAACCGTGAGCTATGCATGTATGTGCGGTGGTTCATGTCACCACAGATTATGGCAGGGGGTAATTTGTGACAGATGGGCCAACGAGAAAAAACATTAAAAACGAGACAAGAAGGAACTGTGGGTGAATGATCAAGAGAAAGGGAATGGATACAACGCCGCCCCAGGTTACTTGACTTGTCAGCGAGCACATTCAACCGTCTTCGTGGTAGGTCTTTGGTGCCCCAGTCTCGCAGGCGACTGCACCATGGTAGTTTTCCATGTTCCGTCTGCAGGTTATGCGAAATCCCTCGTAAGGCATCGTCCAGGCACATTCTGTCTCAGCAAACAGTGGCACACAGAGCACATAATTGGACAAACAGCTGATTTTTGCCAAAAATCGTTCATCGCAGTTTGGCATTACTAAGTCGGTGCTCTTATGATACATGTGCCAGATATCGATTTTCAAATATGAGGAATCTTCTGTTGTAACGCTATGCTGTACAACCGTAAGGTGACATTGGGCACACTGCTGAGTTGTTTGCATCAACACCGGATGTGCCCAACTGGAATGAAAGCGGAATAGGCATTGATGATTCCAGCATGCACTTCATTAGCAGTGATCTCATTAGATGGTAAGTCTACCAGTAATTACGATGCGATTATCAGGTTAATTGATAAACTAACTCTGTCTTGCAGTAGTCTCTGCATTTTAAAGGTGTAGACCCCATACCAAATCGCAGGACAAAAGTGTCAAGAGCACTAATCGCTTCTTGTGCCTAGATTGTCTGAAGCAAATAGTGCAGTATCTTCCGTACGCTCCAAGTCTCCAAGGTCTTCTCCAGTGAGATGCTCGATTACGATGTTGAAATGTGAGAGTGTCCTTGACGGACACCAATTTTGATACTGAACTGAGGGGATCAGGCTCGGCGAACTTTCATGCATCACCAAGGGTTAGGATATGAGGATAGGAGAAGCTTGATGAAAATATATGAATATCTGTGAAGGATGGACCAAAGACCAGTGTGATGGACTGACTGGAAAGCTTATTCCGGGTCTAAGAAGGCCTTCTTCGTGTGTGACAGTTTCGTAAAAACTCCTCAGGTAACTACATGGTTGACTCATCGGCAACCTGGATGGAATCCGGCTTGTTTAGCACGACCATAAATGCACCTATGATAGCAAGCTTAAGAAGAATGATACCTGTGATCGACATAGAATCGATGATGGCCTAACTGATACACCGGCTGTCTTCATATTAAGGCCCCACAACATTTCTGGAGACAGGAGTATCATGAGACATCTACCATCCCTCCGTCACTCCATTCATCTTCCAAATTTTTGCACACATTTCACCAGACTGAACAGGTCCTCAAACACGGCAGATCGAGATCGGGTGGGTTGTTAACTTCCAAAACACAGATTTCGTTTCCGCCTTCACTTTATGTTGAAACAGAGCAGTTCGCGTCCCAATATATGTAGCTGCTAGTGAATCGATCGTTACATTGAGCATCTAAACTTGGCCTAGGTGTTCTTCGAAGTGCTCCAAATCAGCCGGTTGGATATGCTATGAAATTTTGAGGTAGCTTCCCACATAACAATCTTACTGATTTGCAACTTCCTTGACCAGGTGTTGTAGAGAGCATTTTGACTATTACAGTCTCCACCGGCTGTTCCAGTTGTCGGTCTTTGGTAGCCAACGTCTCTCTCGGTCCGCCTGAAATCTGCGTATCAGGTGTTGCTTCGGAGGTTTTCTCATGAAATCGTACTGTTCTGCACTTCGGGAAAGGACATGGGTGATTGTGAGACTTAACTCGAATTTAACCGTGGCTCATTTTATGGAGGCACATTGTCAAACGCCGAATTTGCAGATTGTCGAGTTCCAAAACAGACTACATTTGACTCACCAGTATTTTTCGCTTTCACAGGTTGTTCAAATAGTAACGTCTCATAGACTGCAATGACGGCTCAAGCTTGTAGGCAGTCTCCTCAGCCTCCGGGAATCGAGCTAGAACATGGTCCCACAAAATAGGGTATAAATTGGCTACGTGGACTTTCTCCAAAAACGAGCGACAGTCCTGAACACAAGTTCGCCGTTGATAACTATCTGTTATGGAGTCATTCCGAGTGCTCGGCTTGGAGGATGCCAGTTCACAAGATGCTCACTGCCGACCAATGTCAGTGACGTTCTTGTTGTGAGTTTCGATCTAGACTGGCTGAGTGAATGTCTGGAGGTGTAGGTGCCTCGGAATGATTGTGGTAAGTAGGCACTAAATCCCTTCCCTGTCCACTTTTATTATTTTCTTTACAATAAGGCTTTCAAATAAACCGTGGTTGTACGGCACTGAAGCAGCGGTGTTGAACACTGATGTCATGCTGTCGATGATGATGACTCCCAGCAGTCATTTGTTCAAAGGAATCCAGTCAATTTGGGTGTCTTCAGCTGCGGCACCAAAATGTTATACTCATCCCCCTGAAACCACTGTGAGCCGTTTCAAGATTTCTTGATGCTTGGAGAGTGAGCCATAAACCTTCTTAAGATACACTTCCGTGGTAGGGTTTTGTATGCCTGTTCCGGAGACAGACTAAACATCGATTTCTAAAGAGGAAGTATGAGGAAGGTAGGTTTGTTGACCTACGGTGATGCATTGATCAGATTCATTGCTGATGGTACAATATGCGTAGGTTTTGTTTTTTCCGGGTCCAGGGCTAGGAATCTAGGGAGTTTTATTGATATATGTAGTAAATGAATTGGACGCTGATAAATTAAGAAGCTTAGCCCCTAATCTTATACAGAGTGGATAGGTGTTTGCTCTAAGTACTCAAGCCAAAGACGGGGATTTGTCAAAGTCATTTCGCGTAGAGCCTCCAACTCAAAAGTCTGACTCACAAGGCAGTGGGTGAATGTACGGTTTTATTCCGGGGGGGGGGGGCTAACCCAAGAGGGTAACCCGGCAGACAGCAGTTTTTAAGGTTTTCTTAGGAGACCCTTTTCAAGGTCAATGATTCTACAGTCTGACCCACTTGATTGTGGCAGGCTTGCGCAGTCCAATGCCACAGCATATAATATATATTTGCTCCTTGTCTTTGCACCCATTATGGCTGATGGCCACGGGTGACTGCTGAGCAATCCGAATGTGCAGTCTCTGGGAGTTGACATTTTCTAACTCGTTCTCCTTCAGGTTAGTGAAACGTCTCTGCCTCCGTAAGTATAAACATGCCAGTCCCCCGGAAAATATATCTAACAACTTGCAGACCTTGTCATCCGACTAACTCCAACCATTCGTAGCTAGCTGCTCTCTAAACGTTGAAATTTCACTGACCATTGCATTCTTACTTAACGTTGAACAACAAAGCTTAACCCGCGGGATAATAACAATATTCAAGCCCAACTACCACGTCAAGGTGCAGCTATTTATTAAGCCTGTGTTCCAACTGGACTGGAATGTTGCTGAGCCATCATTAACTGGCCGATATTCGGAACCAGCTGTCACCCACCCATTTGACCCTTTGTGATACGGCGGGCTAAAAATGCAGGGGATAGTCTTTACCCTTAGCATCACGTTTATTCCTGAGAGTAGAACTACAAATTCTGGCCCACGGACTTCAAAGTGTAGTGGGATAATAATAAGCTGTCTATCTTCTGGGTCGATTCTTCCTAGCTAATCGGCGTATCCCGATGCCTTTCTGTAGACAGTTTTCTCAGCTGTTTCTGTCGATTTAACTGGTGAAATTTGTGTGAGTTCCCCATATCTTACCCCGAAATTCCACATCTTTTGACCCGACGCAAGTGGAGATAATTCCTATTAGTTTCTCTTTGTTGACCGAGATCCTTCATTGTACTACGAGCGTATACTGCATTGGACTAACCCAAATCCGAAGGGAAGAAAAAACCAGAAGGAGGATGACAACTAATTTGTGATGCTTTCACCGTTACTGTCCACACGTCTCGGTTTGACCAAATGATAACTGTTCTTTGGTACTTTAGCGCTGATGCATAATCAGAGTAAAATTTTGAAGGCATTTAAAAACTATACGCGTATGGTCGGAGAAGCCGTTGTTTAGATACGTAGCTTTCCAAAAGATTCGGTCAAAAATCGGCCTGGTTGTTGTAGTAATAACAAAAAAACCTCAGAGCTGAGAGCACGAACAGAACTCTGTCGACCTTGAGCAACGTGAATGTCACAAGGCAACGTCTACTGACGACACCACTTCAAGATGGTGAAATGTCAAACGACAAGAAGTGTTTACTGAAATTCATATCAAGTGTGAATCACACTGATGTCTGATTGAACATGTGTAAATAGAAACATCTTCCCAAACGCACCGTATTTTTCTGCCACAAAATCGACGAGGCCTTTCATGCTTCGCACACAGGTTTCCTCCCTGGACCACTCCAGTGGTGATACTCGAATGTCTTTCTGGATTTCAATGGAAAACAAAAAGGGAACCTGATGGGTTTATGGAAGCAAAAAACATTTTGTTCCCCCCCCCCACGAGGTTAGAGCAGGGGGACGAATTGACAGCGTTCCGAAGCGGTCCGTGACCACATGGTCAAAAACACCTTGGACTAGTTATTGAATGGATAACACAGAACAACAGTATCGCCAGAAAGTTGATGAATTTTTGCATCAGTTGATTCAAATGCCATACCAATCGGACAAAATCACTATTTTAGCATATGATAACTGCAGCAGTCGCCTTCATTTAACCTGTTGCATCACCCTGGCATTTGAGGACATTTCTCAAAGTTCCAGGAACTGTTCAACACACGAAACTGTTTTTACTTCCAGGGATTTGCATCACTTTCGGCTTTTTAGGGGTGAAGTCAGTCTATAATGAAAAGTCAAGGCGACCATTTGTGTGGCGGAAAGATAAGTGAGAGTACTGTTTTACATGCGTAATTCAGAGTGGCGTAAACAGAGAGGTGGTCAACCCTTGACTTGGCAGAGAAGTATGAAGGAGATCACGAAACGCTTGGGTGCTGCCGGTGCTACTCGCCTTCCAGGATAGGGACCGCGTGATCCTCACTGTGCCTGGTTGGAGACACTACAAGATATGGCTGCCAACCGATGTCCCTGGTGTTCTTGTTGTCAGCTTCTTATCCAGATTGCCTGAGTAAATGTCTGGAGGTGTAGGCACCTCGAAATGATTGTGGTAAGCTAGCACTAAGTCCCTTCTCTGTCCACATTCACTCTTTGCTTTACAATAAGGCTTTCAAATAAATCATGGCTGTACGTCAGTGAAGTATCGGTGTTGAACACTGATGTCATGCTGTCGATGATGATGATGATCCTCTCTAGGTGCCAGGATTTTGTTGGTTTCGAATCTCACTACGAAATCGTCATAGGCGTGATATGTTAATGATGTTCAACGAAGATAAAGTAGCTCTATTGCGCTTCTCGGCCTCCCATTTGTACAATATCTCTTACAGTGTGCTCTGTGCATCAACAGATTGTGTGTCAGATAAGTACAATACTCTCCTGGAAAACAGAAGTTTTGACCACGCGTGACCGCGGAGTCTGTCAGGTGCAAGGTGTATCCATAAACGCGGCTCAAAATCCCTGGTTGTTTCTTGTCGCGGAAAATATTGCGAACTTTTCATAGTTGCCTATATTTTCCTTCAGTAATGCTCGTCTGTAATTGCAAATTCTTCTAATGCGTTTCTCAAATGAATATTTACGTGACTGACCTGAATCCAACTTCTGCCAGCCTTGTGTGAGTTGGATCTGAGGTAGCTCAGCCTTTAAGGCACCAAGGTCCCCTGTTGGGACCCAAACTCAGCATCTTGAATACCCTTGTGTGGGCTAGGCCCGCGTGCTTCCTTCAGGTGCCATGGCAGGTAAGCGTCTAAAGCGAGCTACAAGTGAATGATTATCGTTGATACTATTATTTATCTGGCGTGACTGGCTAATTCTGTCCCTCTTGTTGTCTCAAATTCCATCGAAAGTATCACTAATTACCTTAACTTGTCTTCACTGTGGACACCCAATCGTCATGAAAGAAATTCATCTGTCGAGGAATGACAAAAACTCAGCAAGATCATCCAATGATTTTAGGCGCTAAGGTGGGGTATATATTTTGGCGTTGATTTAGTTTCATCTTTCCGAACCGCAGTTGGAAAATTAAGGTCAAACCAGTCGGTAAGTAATGGCGTGTCAGGATGATTTGATTCACGCGGTGGAATCGAAAAGATTTATTGAACTCGAACTATTACTAAAGCCAATTTAGTGAACTACTCGTGCCTTCCTTCTGGCCCAAAAAGACGCTATTATTCCTCACGTTAACTTTGCCAAGCGCAAAACTTCTAGCCACCATTTACTGCGTCTAGTGAACAAGTGTACACGTCTTCAATGAAGTAAAGAAACGAAACCTACGCTGGAGGTCGGCACATTTGTTCAACAAAGACAAGAAATAGTGTCAGTGCGGGAATTATCATTGATCAGAATGACGTCACCAAGCGTAATTCGTCCAGACACTTTTCATAAAGGAAACTACTCACAAGATTGCTGGAAACTCGTCGACAGCCCAGGACCGGTTTCACCCTTCTTGTGGCCCATCGGGTAGGCGCAGTCCTTAATGAAAATATGCTGCGATATCTCGAATATCGTCCCAACTGAATCATGAGGCGGCCTGCATGCGGCACATTCAGTTGTAGAATATCATAAACGAGAGATTTAGTTGAGTCTCTCGTGAGAACCAAATTGATTTGAAAATTAGTGTATTTCAAGAAAACAGTCCAATTTGGGTTCAATTAGATCATAAGGTTGACGGAAACTCGTGGACTGCGCCTACCTGATGAGCCACAAGAAGGGCGAAACCGGTCGTGGGCTGTCGACGAGTTTTCAGCAATCTTGTGAGTAGTTTCCTTTATGAAAAGTGTCTGGACGAATTACGCTTGGTGACGTCATTCTGATCAATGATAATTCCCGCACTCGAAGGTAGAAGAAAAACAATAACAAATAATACTTGTTCTGCTGCAACTGCCTTTGTTGCATAGCCGCGGAATAACCTGAGGGAATTACGACGGCCCAGATCCTACCAGGTCACCTAAGCCTACACAGAATTTGGGTTTGGTTCTTCCATTCTGTAATTTTGCGTCTCGACCGTAGAGGTTTCCGAGCATAACCGTTTGAGGTGTCCATACTAAAAAGATTTTAAAGTGGGTAAAAGCACACCACTTGTTTGAAATCTGAGTTTGACACACATCCAACTTCCCTGTGTACAGGGTTTCTTTGCCCCAGGATTCATGTATTTCGAATTGTGATGTTGCCTTTGAGATATCCTGGTTTTGTGTACCTTGCCATAAGAGGAAAGGTGCTTTTTCTCTGGTAGCAGTCCCGATGTTCAGTCCAATTCAAATGTTCTCAACTGTGTGTCAGCGTTGTTCCAAAGGTTAGTTTATCAGTACCAAAGGCGTTTAAAACCCCGGTGGTGAATTCTTTTTCTCGAGAGGATTGCCTAAAACTCCGGTGAGATAAGGGAAATGGCAAGCATATTCACGGAACCGAAACATGATCATTCGCATAACAAGTAGACTGAGGCAGGCCGAGGGTCATTTGCCATCTTATATACTACTCGAGCAAGCAAATAACATGTTTTGAAAGGACATGTGCCAATGGGAAGTAGTCAGATGTCATGCACGATTAGACTCGAAAAGTGGAAGTGGTTTCCGATCAGATGGCTTTACAACGAGTGAATATATTGTGAGTTCAAAGGCTGTTGAACAGTAAAAAGTTCACAACTTGTTGGTTACCGCAGCAGGTGAGAAAGAAACAGCCGCTCTCAAGTTTATGCCAAAATTTCACACCGCCAACCAGGCATCTGATTGGGATTCTTTCATAAGCTTGAGGCTGGCGCGATTAGACAACCCTTCTTATCTCATCTAAACAACAACGCCGCGTCTAAAGTGGATTGGGAGGTTGGCAACAAGACAAAAAACAGGTTTAAGCTCTTTGACAAGGTTTTTAAGATAGGATAAACATGATTTTATCCGTAATATTCCGAGACAAGAATAAGTCAGGCAAACACTACCACCATAAGGTTGTCCAAGAATGTGCAAGGCTTAAAATTAGCGTTGAATCTTATAAGTACTTCCTAATTTTTGCAGCTAGAGTATGGATTTCGTGTTCGCCCTACTGCAAAAACACTAGCAGAGTTTCTCATTCAGTCAGGTCTGTGATTTCAAAACAGTGTCTAACTGACGAACGATCTGGTCATGCCATCATCGGATGACGAGTGTGAAGGTCACATGTACATCAATACACCCCCACGAATTAAATGATTCTCGGTTTCAAAGTCCCGTAGAAGAGAAGAAAAAACACCAGGAATTAGCGATTGTTGAGAAAGGTTAGACCGTATGAGATCAAAAATTTACAAAGGAAATCACGAAAATTAAAGTTTCATTAAATGAAACAAAATTCGTCGATCTTTTCAGAGAAAAATATGGGAAATTTCACGTGTTCCTTTAGAAAGTTAAACACGTGTTATGGCGGACACTACTGATGGTGTATGCGAGTAGTATGTAATTTGCTCGTAACTCCGCCTCGCGTCTCTTAGAAGGCATATTACAGAACTTGTGGAACTGCTGTGCAGCGTTTGTTTACACTTGTGTGACAGTCAAGTAACACGCACAAAAGTTAAAGCAGACACGTGAGAACGGTCAGTTTTTAAAAACAAGATGCACATGAGACGTTTACGTTCCTGCCGATTAGTTTGCAACTGCTAATAAACAGCTCCTCGGAGAAAGGCTTCCCATTTTCATAAAGGAAACTACTCACGAGGTTGCTGAAAACTCTTCGAAAGCCCACGATCGGTTTCACCCTTTTTGGGGCTCATCAGGTAGGCGCAGTTTCGGGAAAACCAAATTGATTTGCAAATGACTGCACTTCTCGAAAAGAGTCTAATTTGGGTTCAAGTAGAACACAAGATTGACGGAAACTCGGGGACTGCGCCTACCTGATGAGCCACAAGAAGGGCGAAACCGGTCCTGGGCTGTCGACGAGTTTCCAGCAATCTTGTGAGTAGTTTCCTTTATGAAAATATACTGCGATATCTCGAATATCGTGCCAACTGAATCATGAGGCGGCCTGTGTGCGGCACATTCAGTTGTAAAATATCATGAACGAGAGATTAGGTTGAGTCTCTTGTGAAAACCAAATTGATTTGCAAATGGGTTTATTTCTCGAAAGGCTTTCCCCTTATTTTGCTTATGAATGTCAGTTTTTTTAACAGCCGTTGCTCAGTTAAGACAATAATCTGCCTACTGATGTACAGTTAGAGAGTTTTGTCTGGTTAGTTAGCGACTCTCGAGAAACATCTAATTACTACGAGGGTAGGAATTTTAATTTTTAGCAGCTGTTTGAATTTAGAACGTTGTTGGTTTTCAAAAGACTATGAGTTATGTCACAGTGGAAACTCTGACGAAATGATTGTATTCCAGATGAATGTTTCATTGCACCCCGACGGAACTCATTGAACACTCGAGAGGGCAGTGAACTGTTTTGCCGCAACCGCGTTTACACATCAAATACGGTCCCCGTTCCAAGAGGAATAATCCACATTTAAGTATGATTTTCTTTTGTCTTGAAGCGGTAGTATGATAATCTTTTCACATTTCATACCCTCGTACAATTAATACCAGACATTCTCTCAAAGCACCGAAAGGTTCTACTAAGTTCACAGTATACTTTATTTTACAAACGATACTTAATATGATTCTCTATAGATTCCCCGGAGAGTGCCTTAGAAGCCTGGCTTTGCTTGGTTTCATACTGGGCCTGAGTCTAGTCTTCTTGATGGAGTCAGCTAGGAAGAACTCAAACGTATTCAAATGTCATCAATTTCAAGAATATTTGGGAATGTAGATGTCACGAAGATCAGGTTCCTGAAGGTTATCCCAGAATACCCGAAACGTAGCGAGCCACTCAACTCCACTATGCGCCAATCAGACAGCGTTGGACTAAGGTCGGGCAGTGTCCCGCCAATATTTAGCGCCAAACTGCTGTACCTTCGTACTCGTTTGTTGCAATAAAGCTGTTGTGTTTCTTGTTGGCGAGTCTTTTTTTCTGGCACTAGGCACTGAAGCGGAAACAGCAGTCAGATACAACAGTAGAACTTTATAAATTTGAATATCTTGACTAGTATCTTGACTAAAGTATAATGAGACTGTATGAACCGAACAAACCTGGCCGTTTCTGAAAGAATGCCAAGCCAAGTGGCTTGTATTCAGGGGGACAACTGTACTATGTGATAACTTTCATCAGGTGTTTCCAGGTCAGATCATTGACAAATCGGGACCAGCCAGCACATTTCTGAGCAACCACACGTACATCCGTGATGAGCAGATATCCCGTATTTTTCTATCGTGCACTAAAATACACCTAGAGTTAAACAGCAAATTGATCACTCCAGTAGTTTGTAGCAAACGTCGCACTTTCAACCAAGGTCCTTGAAAAAGGTTACGCTCGACACAACACGTCAGGCTTTCCGGTTAACACTATGGTATTTTTGACAAACCTGAATTGAGGTGTAATATTTCATGCAAAAAAACATTTCGATCAGAGTTGATCTGTAACTCCCGAAATTCTGTAACATTTGATCATCAAAGAGTGTAAAATATGAGGCAGCTCACCGAAGCATGGTTTACACAAAAAGGTTAACTGCTTTTTTGCACACAAAAGATCACGTCATGGCTACATGAGCTATTAAAGCAACTTCACAAAGTCAACTACTTTCCCAAATCGACTAAGGAACTTACCACTTTGTCAATCGCCCTCGACTGAGAGGTCAAATCATATTTCCGTTGCAGCTTTTTCGTATGACATCCACTCATTTTTTGGTATGGTAGTGAGGATGAAGTGGATGTTGACTTATTAAAGATAGACGGCACGCCAATGATTGGTTAATACTTTGAACCAATCACCCATCAGAAGTAAGCAACCAGCAGTTGAAGCCAGCTGTTTCCAGTGGAACGGTCCTCGTTGTCTGACATATACACTGCCATATCCCCACAAAAGTGATCACGCCACCGTACTATTCTTGGAAGTTTGTGATCTTCGAGGAAGGAAACCAGATTAAGTCGGGAACCATCAACGATATCTCCATAAAACACTCCCCAAATATACAGAGAGACATCAACTGGGGAGCAGAATAACAGAAGCGTTTAATACTTGCCATCTGTGAGCAACGTTTGAACCAAGTGCCCGAAAAACGGATGCCCCCTCATTCATTTTAGGCCGTGCGTTTTTCTATGTACTATGAAGTATCCCCTCCTACCACAATTACTTCAACCACTAGTATAAGCAGAAAGTCTCTTCCATGGGAATCCGTCTATTAGTAAACACCAGCTAACCAATTACAAGCTATTGAAGAGGAAATTAGATGTTTCATATGCCCATAGATTTTATAAACTGATCATTCTCGCGCGACTTATTCAATTTTTATGTTCAAACGTTGACTATTATAGGACTGTAAACGAACAGTCCAAAGAAGTTCCACAAATTCCGTAAGAAACTTCACCTTCCATTAGACGCGGAGAGGAGTTTCGATACGACCACCAACTAATCTCATGCCTCATTAGTAGTATATGTCGTTAAACTGGTAGTAGGTCAGTGATTTAACCGAATCAAGCGAACTCTCCAACCGATTCGATGAACAAAATGTCACACCTTCATGGAGTGCCCGGAAACGCTGTAAATTCCGGCCAAGACGGACTACAACCGTGGACACCCTCTTCATGAATTGGGAAGGACCACTATTTCCTCAGACCAACATCCATATAGGCGATGTCGATTCAGAATTCTTCTATATGGCTTATCGATTACGCAAGGCATCGATAGCACTGTCAAAGAAACGCTGTTGGACGTCCCAGCCAAATAATTTAGGAATTTTGAAATTATTGTGAACTCTTACTTAAAACCTAATTGTACATTGAAACGATTCACTGGAAATGCTTGTTATAAGCCGGGTTTCAACGATCTCAGTATGTCATCATCTCCGAAGCGTACATTGAAAAATGATTCCATTTTTGACTGTATTACATTCAGAAACATTTGAAACAAAGGCGTATCAGTTTACCTGAGGTTTGACTTAATCCATCCTTAGTTATATCAGATCTATCTCAACCAACAAAAGGACTGTCAGTGAATTGATTTCCCAAAGGTCCCGTAATAGACCCTAATAAACAAGTAACATCTAACAGAATGATTTCATCCTGATTTAGAAAACTCAAGTTATTCAACGGTAAAAACCTAGGTCGTTGTATCATTCTAGGATTGAACACCGATCCAGTGCACACAATGCAAACGGTTTCCAAACCAGAGCGGATTCCGACTTCATTAGCCGGATCTATCATGTCGGAAGTGTAGGTAAACTTTCTAAACTGCAGCATCGAGTAAGCCGTTTCGGAGCTCAAAGCCTCTAATAATTATTTATTTCAATGACACCTTTCACCTCATTCATTGCTTCTGGTCCCACTTATGAGGAGAGCAATGCGTCAGCACATTTCATCAGTTCCTGGCCATAGTACAGTGGCCACGGTCAACTGTCATACGTTTGCAATAGAGTCATCTTGTGTTGGCACCGTGTGACTTCAGATAGACGAAACAAAGCCACGAAGTGGTTCGGACTTGTACGTTATATCACTCGGAGCTCTATAGGCTAGGCAGTGTGTCACACCAACCAGACCAAATATGTCCATCTGAATGAAAGCTAAGGGAGAGAGACGGTATCTCATAGAATGACAATAGGTGATCGAAAAGGTCAGAATCTTTGTTGCAAGAAATCCCAACCATTTAATACTGTGTAACTTACGAAAAAGGAGGATGGTAAAATGCAACAGCCGAATCTGCAAGATATGCAACGGAGCTTGAGCTAATAGCACCAACGGTCTGTCGAATTTGTGTGGGTCATCGGGCCGTGCCTGCGCAAAGACAGGATTTTTACGCCTTCGGCATTAGTGTACGAAATACGGATGGACAGCAAGAAAGGACCGTTCGTAATTGCAAATACGCAGACCTCGAGCGATCTCCATAGGTCAACTCTGTGGCCGTTCTAGCAGTCCCTTCCCTAATGGAAGCCTGGAATCCAGGCCTCAACGGTGTACGCGAGATTTGTTCGCTTGTAGGTCGCGCGAATCGTCGAATGATCTGTTCCCTGAAACAAGCAAATAGGCGTGGCATGAGAGTTGATATGGTTATTTTGAAACCCTGTTGTCTTGGAAACAAGGGTATGGTAAAGTAATAGTGATAGTTCGTTTTCCCTGTTATCAGAAAACACACCGGATGGGTTGTATAGGGAAATTTGCACGTAGAACAAAAGGAAGTTTTTAGCGCTCACACTATATGCACTCTCCAGTTTGCATTTCAGAAGAAAAAGGGTTGTAGGATTCCTGTTGGCTGCCAGAGCTTGCTCCCACCTGCAGACAGTAAGATGCTCGACTGGATTTGTGGAGCGATGACACTGATGAGAATCGAGAAAAGACAACGCCCGATCACAGTTCGGTGTGCTACATATTTATTTATTTCATAGGCAGTCCTACCCATTCGAATACACAGTGACCATTCCATCAGGTAATTTTCCAGGTACTAAATAGTCGACCCCGATATCACAGAAAAAAAGACAGCTTTCCCAAGGTAACCTTTGATGAAACTTATCACACACTTTCGTGGAATCCATGCAGGTGATATCCACAACTGAAAGTATGTTGGCTTTAGATATTCCACTTTCTGCCTCTCTCTGTAGCTGATTAGATGAATGGCTAATAGGCTCTACTGCTCAATATTTGTCTTTATACAGTAGGCGCTTGTGAATTTTATAATCCAAGAAAAGATAAGAAAGAATGTGGTGGATCGATAATTAGGATGGCGCGATCAGTTACAATTCTGAGAATCATTCCAAGCTCGAAAGAACCGGTATTGTTATTTTTATACAGAGCTTTTGGAAGGACCTAGTGAGAGGTTCGCAGAGCCATTTCGGAGATCCAGTTATTTTGATTTTGAAGTTTATTGAATGACAGATTTACTTTTACCGTGTGTCGTCTTTTTTACGAGATTTGTAGAATGACTGTGTGTGCAATAGCAGTCATTCAATATTTCGTCCGTAGTCATATTGAGGTTGTCACTATAGGTACTGCCATGGTCCTGGCTGAATGAATTAGTCTTCAAAAACTAGCAAGGTGGTCGCCAGTTCGAATCTTCCAGCACACTCGCGAGATGCGCATCGCTGATTATACTAAGAATGAAAAAGCTGCACAGTGCGCTTCGGCATTTCGCCACTAAACGATCTCACTCAAAGGACGGAACCTCTGGCACAGTAATGATTTGTTATCAATTTGCTGATCTTGTTGCTCCCAAAATTACCACAGGAATTATCCAGTGATATTTGTTCTTATCAATGGCCACCGGCTAATACATCTGCTATGTGGTTCCACGAGGAGAATTCGCCTGACGTCTGTATACTCTTCTTGAAGAAATCCAAAACCATCACTAGGTACTTGATGATCCAACAGTTCACAGTTCATGCTTTTACGTACTACAGACTAACCCGAGCAACCGTGGTGGGTGGAGATAGTAAAGTCAGATAGAACAACAGCGTCGTCACGTTGGTCACGTGGTCACATTGGCCGGGGAGGGTAATATGCACAGTTTCTAGCATTGATGAAACGGATGTGTGTGTGTGTGTGTGTGTGTGTGTGTGTGTGTGTGTGTGTGTGTGTGTGTGTGTGTGTGTGTGTGTGTGTGTGTGTGTGTGTGTGTGTGTGTGTGTGTGTGTGTGTGTGTGTGTGTGTGTGTGTGTGTGTGTGTGTGTGTGTGTGTGTGTGTGTGTGTGTGTGTGTGTGTGTGTGTGTGTGTGTGTGTGTGTGTGTGTGTGTGT